CATGAGCCATTGCACCAGGCCTCAGGTCCTTCTTTAGTGAAATGTTCCGGGATGTTTCCTTCTGTTCCCTAAACTAGACAACTTCTCTGAGCTGGAAAACCCTTGTAGAATGTGTTCTAGACTCTGTTTCCATCCCACTGGTGATGTCAGCAGTCTCAGGCCCCACCCACATCTGCCCACTCTGCCTCTGTTCCCGCAGAGGTGCCTGTGTTCATTACAGAGGCAGCCACAGGGCTCTGGTCTACAGAGATGACCACGGAGCTGACACGGGGCCTGGGTGACCTTTCACTGACCAGTTACTCACTCAAACTGGCTGCCAGTCCAGTCTGTCACCCAAGGGGTAACAAAGCAGTGGTCATTCTGGCGCCAACACACCGCCAGACTCCAAAGGGCAAATTAAGCTGCTTAATAAAATGTGAAAACAGAGGGCATGAAGGTGACATCTCACAGCTGATGCTGGAGAAGGGCAGAGGGGCACACAGGGCCACACGTCTGGATAGAGAATCCCTCAAACCCCCCCCACAAAGGCCAGGCACAATGGCTCATGCCTGTACTCCTAGCATTCTAGAAGGCTGAAACAGGAGGATCCCGGTGAGCTCAGGAGTTGGAGACCAGCCTGAACAAGTGCAAGATCCTGTCTCTTTAAAACACAATGAAGCGATAAACATTTGAGGTGATAGATATGCTAAAATACCCCACTTTGCTCATTACATTGAAATATCACACTGTATCTCCACAAATACACATGATTATTATGTGTGTCAATTAAAAATAATAATAAAAGGAGGAGAAATGTCTAGTGCATTGCCTAACCCCAAGCCGCGTACAGGACAAACATATAAGAGAGTCCCGCACCCCTCATCAATCAGCCTGTAATCAGAGAACGTGGGAGTGAGGCTTCCCTAGGCCAGAGTTTCACCCAAGTCAGCTCAGATCAGAACTGCCTAGCCAACCAGAGAACTGTGAGAAATAATAAATAGCTGTTGTCGTAAGCCTCTTGAAAAAAAAAAAAAGAGAGAAAGAGAAAAGGACGGTGGGTTGTCTAACTTTCTCCCTCCTAAAAAGGCTCATTGAAGTCCTATGAAAGGAAAGTTAAAATATGGGGATAAAATTAGGAAGAGTTGACAAGACACTTCCCAAAGACCAGCACAATTTTCCAGTCCTGACCTCATGAGCCATGAAAAGAAAAAGGAGGAAGGGATCTTCCTGTATATGCCGTGTGTGGGGCTTGGAGCCAGGCTCTGTGGGAGACCTGGAAGTGAACCAGAGATTCCTGCCTTCAAAAAGCACACTGTCCAGGCTACAACTCACAGGAAGTTTGAAGACAGGAGTACAGGGAAATTAACCAACCACAAAGAGACAAATCCCGTAGGATTCCACTTAGGTGAACACCCAGAGGAGTCAAAAATTCAGAGACAGAAAGTAGAATGGTGGCTGTCACGGGCTGGGAAGTTACTGTTTAATGAGTTCAGCTGGGCAAGATGAAAACGTTTTAGACAGGGATGAGGATGATGGCTGCACAACTCTGAATGTTTAAAAATGGTTAAAATGGGAAATCATATGTGTAAAAACACCGTAACAGTTCAGAAACACAGGGCAGATGGAGGTGCCCGCAAGCCTTTGCTGACACTGCTCCTCGGAACATACGGCTTGCTTCAACCTCTGCTCTTAGACTTCTGCTGGTTGATCAAGGGTCTTGCTTGTCCAGTTCTGATACTTCCAGAAGCCTCCTGGGTCTCACTCCCCTCTGAACATGAATACATGTGTCCCTCCCTCCCATTAACTTCTAAGCTCCCAGATGGCAAGGACCACACTCTTTCCTTTCAAGGGGCTCCCATGATCCAAAGGGAAGGGCTTGCACATACCAGGGCTCACAGCCATCTGTCTAACCCCACAGGCAAGCCCCAGGTGCAAGGAGCTGGACGGATCCCTGGACAGTGCAGGGAAGAGTGCTGCACGACCACCACATTCCAGAAAGAATGGCTGTGCATTCGCACAGAGCCTGGGAATCCCAGCTCTGCCCCATCATAGTTCTTTCTTTACTTGTCGGTGGGCAGCCCGGGAAGGACCGTGCATCAGGCACCCACACCTAGCACAGAGCAGCATATGATGGTTTTAGCTTAGGGTGACCAGATTTTAACATCTGTAAGGCGGGACAACATGGCGCGCGCGGGG